TGAGTTTATGAGTCCTGAAGTATGCTGACTGTAGTTCAGATTGAAAGCTTGTCAACAAATTAGTAGTATATTTCAATTGCTGTTATAATTCAGCATACTGTTCCTATCTTTTAAGTGAAAAATCTGACCAAATGCAGTAATAGAATGAGAATTAAAATTTTTAACAAATAGACTGCTGCTAAAAATTAGCAACAAACACATGATTCATGCCAGAAAATTCTCTGTAGTTGTAGCTGAATGAAAGTGGAGGGGACAGAAAGGAAGCGAGAACGCAGAGAGCACTGTTGGCCCCGGGGGTGGGGGGCGGGGGGAGAGGGGAGGGGGACTCCTGACGGGGGGTGGGTAGGAAGCATCTTACCTGGTAGGAGGGTGAGAGAGGGCAGGTCAGGAGGCTGAGGGACTAGAAGATGCTCAGAGAAGGGAGAATGTCCTGGGCAGTGGGAGGGCTGACCAGGAGGAAGGAAAACTGTGAGGGACCTTGCTGGGCCCGTTAAGAGTAAATAGAAACTCGGCTTCCCTGGTGGCGCAGTGGTTAAGAATCTGCCTGCCAACACAGGGGACACGGGTTCGAGCCCTGGTCCGGGAAGATCCCACATGCCGCGGAGCAGCTAAGCCTGTGTGCCACAACTACTGAGCCTGCGCTCTAGGGCCCGTGCGCCACAACTGCTGAAGCCTGTGAGCCTAGAGCCTCTGCTCTGCAACAGGAGAAGCCACTGCAATGAGAAGCCCGCGCAGCGCAACGAAGAGCGTAGCCCCCAGAGAAAGCCAGCGCGCAGCAACGAAGACCCAACACATCCAAAAATAAATAAATAAATAATTTTTAAAAAAGAGTAAATAGAAACTTAGAGTGAGTCTGATTCAGCATACGGAGAGTATCACCCAGCAGTACTCAGCATCCCGTAGAGAAGCGGGGCGCTGGGGCCCACGTGCATGCAGGGTCTCCTGAAACAGTGTGGCTGCAGGACGGATGGGTCGGTGAGAGAGTGAAGGAGGGACAGGAGAAAATGAAGTTTGTATAATGCGGGCTTACGAGAGGGCTCACGTTTTGGCTGAAACAGAAGTATAGAGTGAACATTTCCTGAAGAAATCAGTAGTATATGGAAGTTTGTATGGGATGTGATGGTTTCCAGAATTCGCGTTCTAGACGATCATTTTCATATCTAAATCAGGGGAAAGTATGGTTTTTAAAATCCCCAAATTTAGTCCTTTTTTTTTTTTTTTTTTTTTGCGGTATGCGGGCCTCTCACTGTTGCGGCCTCTCCCGTTGCGGAGCAGAGGCTCCGGATGCGCAGGCTCAGCGGCCATGGCTCACGGGCCCAGCCGCTCCGCGGCATGTGGGATCTTCCCGGACTGGGGCACGAACCCGTGTCCTCTGCATCGGCAGGCGGACTCTCAACCACTGCACCACCAGGGAAGCCCAACCAGATTTAGTCATTTTGACAAGGTTTATACCATATGGGATGAAATTTCCCCTACCTCATTTTAACTTGTTTTTCTTGGGTATTGAAATCTGTGATTAAAAAAAAAAGAATGGTGTCACCTTGGACACATTATTTAATGGCCTAAGTTTCGATTTCCTTGGCTGTGAAGTAAGACACCGCCCCCCCCCCCCCCCATGTCACTGTGCTGTGCGTTCATGAGCTCAGGTGGTCAGGGGCTCTGCACAGGGCCTGGCGGGCAGTGCGTGAGCCACAGGTGGGGGAAGCTGCTGCCGTCACGCCTGGATCCTCATTATTTCTTACTGTGAAGCAGATGCTCACGCTGGCTTCACAAGGTTACTTGTGTGAATTACGTGCCAGTTGCTGCCTTCGTTATCCACTGTGCGGTGGAAGTGTGTCAGGAGCATGGGCTTGCACACACACAGGCTGAGAATCCTTGTGAGTAGAAAGGATCATCTCCCGCTCTGGTTGACGGTGCCCAGACCTGAGCCTTGGTTCAGGCTTCGGCCTGGGTTCTTACGCGGGTCCCGAGTCTCTCACCAAGCTCCCCCAGGGCTGTCAGACCAGCCAGAGAAGCAAGAGAATTGACACTGAATCCAGGTGACTACACCAAGTAAGCACCCACTGAGTCCCAGCCCCTGCATTTCACCAAGCCATCATCCCCCAGGTCTCCCTGTCCTGCCTGGCGCCGTCCTGATGCCACCCCGTGCCCAGCTCAGCAGACGGACCTGCACGTTGCTGGTTGCTCCAGCGGTGGCCCAGGTTCACAACTCGGTCTTTCAGCTTGCCGCCTGATTCTCAGAACACGGACGGGCCTGAAGTCCTTTCCTGGTGCAGCAGTCCCCCTGCTGTGGGGCAGTTCCATACCCAAGGGGCTTTTCTGAGGCTTCGTGGTGCCGTTCGCTCCCTGGCTGGGATCTACCCCACCAAACCCGTATCCAGGCAAACCCTGCCCTAGTGACCTGATGCAGGCTAACATACACCTGCTTGTAAGTGATCGCAGCTCAGGTATTTGAAGAGAGCTATCGTTTCTTAATACACTTTAAAGGCTGAAAATGTTTTCGTCTTCAAGTAGGTGTTAATATTTTACTATTTGTAAGCTAAAGCCTCATGAAAAATACATATATTTCATTTTTAAAAGATTTTAAATTTCAGTGATTTCTTTTACCTTTTACATCCCATAGCTTGTTTTAGGCTGTGGTGATATTAATGAATCTTATCTGTCCCTTCTGTATTTATCTATTTGAAACTCCTTCTTGGTGTTCCCCCCTCCAGAAGAGGGACAGTCAGGTATACATCAAATTAGTTTAAGGAAACAAGCCTTATAGCTGAAACCGGGTTTTTACTTAGGTGAACATTGCTAATTTATGTAGTCAAATTGCATGGATTGGAGGCAGCGTGACCAGTCAAACCTTGCCACAACCCAGAGGGCAGACAATTTTCAATTTTATTTTCTGGGCCACTCCACGAAAAATGGTTTAAACATTAAAAAAAAAGACTGGGGACTTCTCCAGCAGTCCAGTGGTTGAGAATCCATGCTTCCACTGCAGGGGGCACGGGTTCGATCCCTGGTCAGGGAACTAAGATCCCACGTGGCACAGCCAACAACAACAAAAAAAATGACTGGACCTTGATTGCTAATTTGTTATCATCCAGAAAGTTTTGAAATATGTGTATACATGAGGGAAAAGGCCTGTAAAACTATACACAGGATACTAATGCTCTATTTTATAAAGAAATACTTCATTAATAAATGTTCTTTTTAAGTTACCTGGCAAAATATCCATGCAAATGCACACCACGTGTTTCATCGGCTTCACATAAAAATAAGAGTAGTTTCAAAACAAGGAAAGAACGCGGCAGTGAAAGACAGAAGGCAAGTCCATCGAAACTCCTAGTGCAGATGTGATCAGTACCAATGTCGGATAGCCGATGCTGTTAGAAATGTGTTTTTCGAGCGTATTATTACCATAGTAAAAAGTAGTAAATATTGAAGAATATCCATATCAAAGCATCATATTAGTAAAGTCTCAAATAAACATCGCGATAAAATGTATGCATTTGTTAGGGGTCAAAAGCTTTTGGTTTAGTGTGAGTGTGTACAGTATGTATTCTCAGTTATAACTCCAACATTTCTCTGATGTTGTTTGCTTCAGTTGTATCTTAATTGATGCCTTTATCTAGAGTGAGAAGTGATGTTCCCTAATGTCAGATGTCAAACACTGGTGGGGTGAGAATACCCTTGATTTCACCTAAACTGGTAGACACAGACTACAAGAATTTAAGCTTTGCAACTTTCTGATCCATATGTTTCAGTACCATGTGTTTTTATGAAGATGTAACATTTGTGTGTAAATCTAATTTCGATAATGTTATGTAGCCAGTGGTCATATGGGTTTGTGGTGTTTATTGTGTTCATTTTGCATTATTCTTACAACACTGTGGATAGAGCAGACCTTTAAAGAGAGAAGGAAGGCAAATGTAATTTGCAGAAGCATTTTCAGTGTTATAATATGATGTCATATTTAGAAAGAACAGCTAATTCATAATAAAATGACAGAAAAGTCATTAGAATTTTAAGTTTATGAGAAAGAAGTGTGGTTTTTGAAAGTTGAGAAATACTTCAAAGAATGAGGTGTTATTAAATGAATATTATTTTGATGATACAGTATGTATAATCAATGAATTTCTGGATAAAGAAGTGAAAAAAAGTTGTGAGGCTTTCTTAAGTAAATGTGGTGTTTTAAAAGAATCTCCATAAATGCTTGAAAGGCCAACTGAAAAATGAAGTAATTTTTCAAAATTGAGGTATAGTTGATTTACAATATTAGTTTCAGGTGTACAACGTAGTGATTCAAAATTTTTATAGATTATACTCCATTTAAAGTTATTATAAAATACTGGCTAAAAAGTGAAGTAATTTGTCTTTGTAGAGTTCTACTGGTAACCTGCAGTTATTGAAAAACGGTAATCTGTTTTAAGAGTTCAGAATTTTTAGCCAATGGAATCTGACTGTATTATTTCTTTTGTAGCAATGTGGTTTCTTAAACATTTCACATTTTCCTGTTTCGTCAGCGATTGCTGATTTTTGTTATGGTACACATTCAGTTTCTTTTTCTTCTGTTGAAATAAAGCAACTTCATAGCTGTGGCTTATGGTTGTGTGAAAAAGGTAGCAAAGAATAGCATGTTTGAGAAGAGTGTCAGGAACACTGAAAGTAGACATTTAGTCTCTTGGATTAGTGGACAGGAAGCTCAGTAATTGCATGGATTTCAGTAAGCTTAAAACTAATATTCTTCTGGTTTTGTAGTGCTGTTAAAACATTGAATTAATTTTTAGATGCTGCATTTTGACATTTGACTGTTTCACTATGGCAGAATCACCTATTTTGTAACATGAGGTTATATATATATATATGTGTGTGTGTGTATATACAGGGGTGGCGGCTTCAGGAGATAAGTTCCTTGACGTTTGCAGAGGAAAACTTAAAAACATGTACACCTTTCTGAAAACTACCGTTCATTTTCCTGCCTTCCACCCTGTTTTCCTGCTGTGCTTCAGGGCCCTCCAGAGTTCCCACAGCACACACCTGGACCTGTTCCCAACAGCTTCAGCCAGCCCCCGCGGCTTCCTCTTCAGGACCAGTGGAGGGCCCCGCCGCCTCCCCAGGAGCGAGACCCTTTCTTCTTAGGAGGTAAAGGATGGCGCAGAGTAACAGAGCAAAGCCGCGTGGGGCGACGTGCCTGAACATGCTTATGTTTTAAACGGTATTTAGCTCCCAATAGGAGATTTTGTTAATAAGAGTGTCAGATTTTTGTCCCATAGCCCTTCCGCCTGTCATTTCAGATGCTAAAATTGGACATTATTGGTATCTGAAATGTGAAAATTTCATACAAAGGAGGAAATCATCTGTAGAAAATGACTAATGAAGCAGTCTAGAAATAAGAGGCAAAATGTAGAATTCTTTTCAGACATTCACACCCAACCTCTTGTAATTTTCGTCCATAGTAAGACAGTACATAAAACTGATTTCTGTGAAGTGTGTGTTCTGTGTGACCAGAGGGCAGTAATGTTGCAACGCCCTTCCGTTTCAGGTGAACCAAGGTTCCCGAGCCATCTCTTTCTGGAACAGCGAAGTCCCCCTCCCCCGCCACCTCCTCCCACGCTTCTTAGCAGTGGTCACCCTGTGCCCACTCCCAGCCCCTTACCATTCACCCAGCCTGGACCAGCGTTTAATCAGCAAGGACAGCAGCCTGTGTTCCCCAGAGAGAGGCCCGTGAGGCCAGCCCTCCAGCCGCCAGGGCCGGTGGGGATTCTGCACTTCAGCCAGCCAGGGTCCGCAGCAGCACGGCCGTTCATCCCTCCTCGACAGCCCTTCCTGCCTGGCCCTGGACAGCCCTTCCTGCCCGCCCACACACAGCCTAACCTTCAGGTAGGCGTCAGGGGCTGGTTTTGTGTTTCAGAATTCAAGTTAAAACCTTTCACATTTTTATTCTAGTCTGCCAAGATGTGGAGATTATTTAAAGAACGAGGGTATTCAACTTAAATGTGCTCTTTATTAAAGACAACTTCCTTAATCGTAGGAGAAATGGAGAAAGTGATTGTCATTTTTTGGGAAATGAAAAAACTCAGTAGTAAGATTTTGTAAAGGATATACTATACATTGCTAATGAAATTAGGGCATGTTTTGATAATACCTTTGCTTATCATTGCAAGATTCTTAAAAGGTTAACAGGAAATAAGGTTCTTTGTCAAATTATGTTTCTGCAATATGTAGTGGGGGAAAAAAAGGGTTGCTGCTCCCTCATTATTTGAGAGATTTGAGTGCCCTCTGCTGGTGTTTTATGTTTCATCAGCTGCCTTGAGTCTGATACCTCTCTTACCCAGTATGTTTTTTCTTGTGTCTTAAGTTTCCTGTTAAGGTATGTAATGATGATGGGCTTGAACCGATTATTTAGAAACACATGGAATATGTACCTAAAGTAAGAACAGGAAAATGGTTATTATATAAGGTGTTACAGTAGGATAAAATGTTTTTTTCTTTTTATTAAAAAAGTATAATGTGGGAATTTCCTGGAGGTCCAGTAATTGGGACTCTGTGATTTCACTGCCGAGGGTGCGGGTTCAACCCCTGGTCAGGGAACTAAGATCCCACAAGCTGCTCTGCACAACCAAAATATATATAAATGTGTGTGTGTGTGTGTGTGCGTGTGTGTGTATATAAATATATATACATAATACAATATAATGTAATATATATAATCACTGCATTGCAGAAATAAGTATAGATAGGAATTTGAAAAGGAAATGAAGTCATCCCACCATCTAGAGACAGTTACCACTAACATTTGGGTGCACATGTCTTTCAGTCTCTTTAGTGCTTGCATCCTCGTCATGATGCTTTCTTTTCCCAGTTAACATGTTATTACCATCTTCTCATGGTGATGAGTTCTCTTTCACCACGGCATTTGAAAACACTGCACAAGTTGACATTTTACGGCTGTCACTATTTCTGGCCGTGTTTATTGGTTTCAGTCCTTGGGTATTGGAAACAGTGCTGCAGGAAACATCCTTGAGGTTGTGTTTGCTCGCATCCTTGGTTATTTCCTTAGGATAAATTCCTGGAATTTCAAGATCTAAAGGATTTAGGGCAAATATAAAATGCAGGGTAGTAGCTTTTGGCTTATCACTGCATTTAAGATAGCATCAGCTTCATCAACAAATCTAAAATGAAATTTTAGTGCCACTTGAAGCTTCTTTCTGGTGTTGGGGTTTTTAAGGAAATGGCTGAATTGGAACACGAGCAGTACGTACATGATAAACTGTTGCTTCTCTCTTGTTGGCTTGGAAGGGGCCCCTGCACCCTCCTCTGCCCCCTCCCCCGCAGCCCCAGCAGCAGCCCCCGCTCCCGCCCCCGCTCCAGCCACCTTCGCAGCACCAGCCGCCGCCTCCTCCGCCGCCGCCGCACCCGCACCCGCACCAGCACCACCACCTCTCTGTTCCTCCCCCGCCCCTGATGCCCGCGGCTCAGCCCCAGTTCAGGCCTCACATGCAGACGGGGCCGCCTCAGCCAAGCAGCAGTCGGACGCAGTGCCCCCAGCGCCAGGGGCTAAGGCATGTAAGTGTCCAGTTCCGCGGCTGTCTTCCGGGGGCACCTTTTATGTCGCGGGGCCTTGTGTGTCTAGATCCTCCTGTAGTGCGAGATGGCCTTAGTAATGGATGCATAACTTCAGGAAGTAGTTTTGGGTGATAATCGTTCTGCCTTTGCCAGTGGCTGTCTGTCTCCGTGGGCAGTGAATGCACAAGTAAATGAATTCAGGAGGAGTTTCTTGAACATCCTTTGTTGTTGGGCACTACTCTGGTTCCTGGGAATACAGCAGCTCCTGCCTTCATGGAGCTTATAGTTAATCGTGGGGATGGACTGCGCTGATCTGTGAGGTTACCTCTCGAGTACCATCGGCAGATGTGCGGCTTGTCGTGCATTGAAAGAGACTGGGAGATGTGTGTCGCTTTACAGGTCAAAGACTAGTCGCGGTTACTGTCTTATCCTCCATTAAATAACTAACCGTGTAAAGAGGCTCAGGGTTAGAGTTCCAGGCTGAAAGGTGAGATAGTTGGGTTTTCCCTTTAATACTGGTCCTTTTGACCTTGAGCTTCAAGCATGTCACTTAGCTGCTTTTAATCTCAGTTTTTTCATACCCGCCTCTTTGTTTCTTACAGTAACATTGAGACTAAAATCACGTAAGAAGTAAGAAAGGATTTCTAGATCTGGAAAGAGGGTGCTTTGTAACCTGGGCTTCCTTTTGTAAGAACAGGGGCAGACGACACCCCCAGTCTTGAGCTGAGCAGCCGTGGAATGCAGTCCTCCCCCAGCCATCTCACAGATCTCCACACTCCTCTAGGCGCTGGGTCTCTGTTAAGGATCCTCAGGGTGAACGTGACCTGACTGTCTCCTCCCCGATGAGAGCGATGGGCATCTTCCTCCTTTTTCTTAGGGCACTAACTTAATGCTTCGTTCTTTGTTTGTTCTGCCTTCAATTTAGGGGACCCATTGACAGTGGTGGTGCCATTAACCCAGCTGACTCCTTGTGCGGGAGTCCTTGTTGCACTGCTGATTCTGTTAAAAATGTTTGTCCCCATCCTGTAAGTCACCTGGTGTAATATCCATAAAGAGGAGCCTGTCTGTAGGCAGGTATGGCACCTTTCCCAGCCCCAGTCCTTATCAGTAAGGGTATGTTACTATGTAGAGCAGAAAGCATTTATGCAGGGAAAAAATGTTTACCAACAGGAAGGTGTCTGCCCCCCAAAGGAGAAGTCACGTATTCAGTTAGAATGATTTTTTAAAATATTTTAATCTAATGTGCCTTTTTATGTTTCTTCTCCCAAGTTTCCAGTTGTAATTAGAATTTCTTTCTTCTTGTGATGATAGAACACAACTTCTCAGAATGTAACCAAACGACCAATGCAGCAAATGCAGCCAACTGCTCCAAGAAACAGTAATTTGCGTGAATTACCAATAGCACCATCACACGTTATAGAAGTGAGTAACAGTCGCTGCTCCTCCGCACCAGCCGGGGCTCAAGTAAAGCCTATTATCAGCACGTCACCGCCCACGAGGCCCGGGGTGGGGCCCAGGACTGCGCAGGGGAAGGCTGATGTGAAAGTCAAGCCAGTTAGCCCTGTGGGCCGGCCTAAAGAGGAAGCAAAAACAGAACCAGAGGTAGGACTTTTCTTTTTCTAATTAAAAAATAATGTTTGGTTTCAAACAGGGAGACCTTATAATCAAGGTCTGTACCTCTTATCTCAGTTCACTCTCACCCAGTGAGTTCTTCACAAAATCATCCCACCTTCTTTTAACCTAACAGCCATATTCATATAAGATACACTTTCATTCTCACTGGTACTATATCAGATTGTATTCATGTATTTATACAGTTATAGTTGTGTGTTACAGAATCTGTGTATATCAGGGATCTTAACCAACTGTTTCTCTGAAGGGCCCAGGTAACAAATATTTTAGGTTTTATAGTCCAAATTGTCTCTCAGAATTACTCAACTCTGCTGTTTTATCACAAAAGCAAACATAGACAGTCTTACATCAATGGGCATGGCTGTGTTCTGGTAGCACTTTATGACAAAGTCAAGCGTTGGGCTGGATGGGCTCATGGGCCATAGTTAGCTGACCCCTTACATTTACTCTTATGTTCCTGTGGCTTTTCTGGTTTTACACTGTGAACTTCTAGAAGGTAGGACCAGTTTAGACCTTTAAATAAGATGGGGAGGGGTGTTTTGTTCTGAATTGTGTATATTATTGCTGATTTCTAAATAGGTATAAATGTTGTAAGAATAAATAATAAATGCAAGTCAGTATTCTACATGATTTCCAATTGAGGTGTTATTTGTACCTTTGTTTAGTTTTGGCCACTTGATTATGTTTTGCTTAGAGGCAGTTTTGCTGTTAATGCAGTATTAGTCACAAACTTTCACATTTTTAAAAAAAATTTCTTTACGTCAGTAAAATTTATGCCTGAGACAAACCCCTTGAGGCCCTTGGTCTCCTGTAAAAGAAGTGAATGCGCTTGTCTGATGCTTCCCTGAAGTCAGGATTCCATTGCGGGCTGTTCCCTGGAATTATAGATACAAAAGTTGGGCAGTATCTGTATAATGTAGGTTCTGATGAAGCATAGGCATCTAGTGTAGCACAGGTTAGAACACGCCCTTGGAATGGTCCGCTGTCGCTAGCAGTGCGGCTCTGAGCCAGTTCCTTCACTTATTCCAAGCCTCAGTTTCCTTAACTATTGGGTGTATGTGCCTGAGACATGGCAAGAGACCAGTACGTGGAAGTTACGTTAATAATAATATATATGATGTAATAAGTAAGTATATCTATTAACTTCATAAAATAATGGCACAAAGTTTCCTTAGATGAGAATATAAGCCCTTAATCATAATAAAAACAAGTGTTAACTGTTTTTTGCCTTTCAGTCAATTAAAGTGCGGGGGTGTGTGTGTCAGATTTTCTTCTAATAAATTATTATAGCAGCTGTAATGTAATGTTTCCAAGTCAGAAATGTAAGTATAAAGTGAAAATACTGAGTTAACGTTTAGTAACATCTTATTAGAAGAAGGGTGACATTTCGGTTTTAAAATCAGTATATGAAAAAATCATGTAGATTTACAGACGGGATTGGGATAGTTTATAAAAAGAAATCATTGCTAAAAATTTTATCCTGCTTTTAGTTTATATAGCTAGCTCCTGACTCATGTGTGTAAATGGATTTGGCTCAAAAATGAAGTCACATATACTTTTGTAGTAACAGTGGCTAAATAAAAAGAGAAAAGTGACTTTTTAGGCATACCACTAGCCACGTTTGTCCCTTTTATAATAGTTGAGTTAATAAGCAGGATTCTGAAGAAGTCTTCTGTAGGATAAAATGGATGCTTTGTGCGTGAAGTGGAACTTGCAGGTGGCCATAGTGTAAGTGGTGCGTGTCTTAATTTGTTTGCTTTTAATTTTCTGTGCACATAGAATGGGACCAGGAGTAAAGTGTTTTTTTTATTTTTAAAACCTTCTGTTTGTTTTGCTTAGGTAAGTGTGGTTTATCTTCTTATATGCACCCAGTTGGTAATGATATAATGAAGGACAAATCTATTTAGAAGTATTCCTACCTATATTCTTGAACATACTTTAACTCTTTTTTGATTACGTGGGGAAAAATCCTAGTGAATGTTAATTATTCTTGCATTTGAAACAGTGGGTCCTCTGGACCTGTTATTATTTCCCCAGAATGCCCTGGCCCCTGTACTTTTTGAACTTCTGTTTTTCTGTCTTCCCCTTAATGTCACTTCTAGCTCTGTGTAGCCCTCAGCCAACTTAAGATTTTCTGTTTCAGGTCTGTCCTAGACTTTGAAATTAGGTGACTGAGTTGATCAGGATTGCTGCTAAAATGACAAGCAAGCCCCAATGAGGGGGCTTGGCTCTGTGTCTTGTAGGTCAAGTGCACGGGCTCTGGGGGCACCAGCCAACTCTTCAGCTACATTGTGGTCTTATAATTCCTAACTTCTAAGGTTTATTTGCTAACAGCTGAATTCTAGGTAGAGTAAATCCTATTATATTCTTTTGCAAAGGATCTGTGAGTGATGATATCTATGATTTTTTTTTAAAGAAAACTATTACAATTTTAAACAAATGCTAAACTTTCCTCTTTGGATGCTTTTTTTTTTTTTTTTTTTTTTTTTTTTTTTTTTTTT